CGCAGAAAGCTTGAATATCAAGGTGTTCTTTCGCATTAACGTCGAGAATCATTTGACAGTGTAGTTGAATTGGGTGGACAGATAATTCATCGCAAGGCGTATTTTATCAGAGACCTCACTCTTAGCCTTCAACGGAAAGGCCTAACAAAAGCGAGACACACCATCAGTAATCGTAGAGAGAAGTCTGTGGCTCCCAACGCCTTGAATTGATGATAAACCCCAAATATCAGTGTGCAGCTTCTGATCAGCCGTGGTCTTGATACGCTTACCCTAGCCTTCCTTTAATTCAGGGAGGACTGAGTGTAATAGTGCCAGTGTTCTTTGGAATCAAAATGCCAGCGGCATATTCAGGCATGCGCTTCATTTTCTGCTCGCCTACGTGACAGGCTCTTTTGTGAGCCAGATACATTGAATTCGGCTTGATTTTTGTTGTTTTGGAAGCTGCAGAGTTAAGTTGATACTTGGATTCTTTAATGAAGGCCAGAACAACTGCTTATGCGCAGAAGTATATCAACCTGGCTGTCTCCGGCGCATGTGTTGACCCAACATCGGGCGTTGATTTGACGCGCCGTAACGATTAATTGACCCCCTTGATGAGTGAGCCATGGTCCTTCCCAAATCCAGTCTAGATGTTTGGGTCGTCGGTCAGTTGCCATGATGAGATGAGGTTCACATGGAATACATCAAGGCTTGGGCAATGTGAGCTCCGTAAGACTCTCGTTATTGGGAAGATTGAGCACAACATCACCGTATCTTTCGATGTGAACATGGTGACCATCAGGCAGGTTGACCTGGGTGACGAAAGGCGTAGAACGAATGAAACTCGCGCGGTATGGCGTGATACGGTCCTTTGCGCCAGAATCAACCAGCCGCGCATGTCGACCATTTTCAGCTAGCGCAGCCGCAACATGGACTGAAAATGCAAATCCAATACTGGCGGCAGATGCACCAAGTTCTGTAAATTTTGAAGACGCCTTCCTGGTCGATTACTCCCCATCTTTCGAGTCAGATTTTGAACCATCCGCGGTGGTATCCGTAGCAGCCGCGTCAGGCCCACCCTGCGACTCGCCTTTTCCTTTGTTTCTGGGGTTGTCCCAGCACTCATCACTGGTGTGACCAGCCGGACGATTATAGAAGGAACAAAAACGAGGGGCACCTCGTCCTCGGCCTCTTCCGCGACCGCATCCTCGACAGCGACTAGACTCATATTGATTATTTTGGTCGTCAGAATCATTTCCTCTGCCTCTACCTCTGCCTCTGCCTCTTCCGGCATCGTGAATTGTAGAAGTTGCAGCTAAAGCCTACCTATCCGGTTCAATCGAGTAAGGACCATTCAGCGAACTCCAAGCGGCGAGTCCACGAGCCCTGGACTCCCCTGGAGACTCGGTACGCGGGATCTTCATGTACAGTGACGTTCCGAAAATTTTCAACACCGTGCCCTGTTTTCGATCTCCGCCGTCCGGAAACCCACGTTCAATTCGCGGAGTGCCTTCAGCTCTTGAGCTTGATTAGCTCGTAAGGGCGGTTGGAAGGGCGGTTGGAAGGGCGGTGGGACAAGGGGGATAAAGACTTATAGAACGTCACTATCTCTGTTGTGGAAACTAATTAGTGGAGTCACTACTAGACTCCAAGATTCAGTTGCTGGAAATCAGACCCTCATAGACTCGGAATTTCTGTCTAGCCAACAGGTAATCTGACCTACGGCCTGCCTGCGATACAGATGTCATAGGTAACACATCATGTCTCAGGTTGAGTGCCTTGCGTGACTCATCAATTGGTCAAATTCTACAATTTGATACGCTTGTTACAGTACGTCGCCATCACGTTCAGCGTGTAACGTAATATTGACTTATGGGTTCGAATTAATCCACGAAGAAAGTACCCAGAGAAAAAACTATGAACGAGGATACAGCAATCCCTGCTGGTAATAGAGAGGGAAAATCGTGCACCTTTTGACGCAAATTGTGTGCAGAGATAAAAATTTGACAGGATTCTGATGTCTTCATTTCGAATACCTGGTTCGCTATGGGCCACGGTTGGATGACAGAACTACCACTGTCACGGAAGCGTTCTGGGTGGACACTAACCAACAAGACCATAAAAGATCACTAATATCCGCCGTTGCGGATACTGCCCAGAGTCCGGTATATATAGTATGGTATCGCAACTTGTTCGGCCACGCCGTAGCAGCCACGTAGACCTTGATTCCGATGGACAAGGTTCTTACGATAAAGTATACCCAAAGCTGAAGGTGATTGCTGTTCAAATGGGAATTACTAGCCATCCGAGGACCAACGTGGTCTTAGGACTGAAAAAGTGTCTCGTCAGAGGCCACAACAACATTGTAAATCCGATTCCTAACTTACCTATAATTACACCGAGCCAGCATTATAGCCAGATTTGCACCAGGTTTATACCAGATCCGCAGCCAGTATCGCAGCCAAATCCGCAGCCCGGAACGCAGCCAGATCCGCTGTCAGTATCGCAGCCAGTAACGCAGCCAGTAATGTAGCCAGTAACGTAACCAATGACGTAGCCAGTATCGTAGCCAGTATCGTAGCCAGTAACGTAGCCAGTCACGTAGCCGTCGTACCCAGGAACGCAGCCAGCGTCGCAGCTAATAAAGCAGTCAGATCCGCAGCCAGTATCGTGCTAGATCCGTCGAGTCTAGCTAATTACAGGCTAGCGTCGCTGCCACAGAACCAAGATTCGGTCTGTGGGTCACATGATTTGTACTTCGCAGACCGCTTTGGCAGAACCCCTTCCCCTAGGGAAAAAAAATACTATCTGATGCCCCCCCCTCCCGTAAGCGTATATCCTAGAAGTAAAGAAGTTAGCCTAGAATATTGTTGTTGTGTCTCTGAAGAGACACAATTATATAAAACCTTAGTTTGAGCATTTTTGAGGAGCTTTTTGACGCATGATCTTGAATTTTCTCCCCCGTGTTTTCCAAAGTATGCTAAATACAAGCAGTGAGGGGCCTGAGGGCGGCAAGCTGTTGTGGACGGATGGACGTTAGGTCATCTTCGTGATTTGATTGCAAATTGGAGTGGAACGAGAAATTGCTTTCCATGTAAGTGCCTGGAATTTTATTCATGCGCTCTGATTAGCTGGCTGTGGCAGAATTGACCGCCCCTAAAGTTATATCACGTGATGTCTTCCAGATGTTTGCTTTGTGATTCTGTGATCAGTCTTAATCTCCTCTCGCATCACGTGGTCCTTATGTCTCGACTCTCGGGTGACTTATCACGTGACTCTTGTCTAATAATATCAACAGTTGATATCATATGTAGAGGTGGGAATACGGGCCCCCATCGGCAAAGACGCAAAACGACCCTTCCCATGGATACCCATTTGCAGATTATCAGACCCATGGGAATTCCCCATACCCAAGTAGGTGGGAATACCCATACCCACAGGAATAACCGTAGGCGGTAGGCCCCATAGTCAAAACCTAAATTCTGACCCAAACCCAAGTACCTATATGGGCCCCATGGGTATTCCCGCAAGTTGATAATCAACTTTACTTGCGTTATGGTCTTATAGATTTATGATTTAATTTGCGTTAGCCGTTGGCCCGTTGATGGGGGTCTACGGGGGTCTCCCCCGTATATAGAGTTGAGAATATTGATATAATCGGTGGATATCAGAGTACCCTACTACAATTTCTACTTCTTGCTCCACGCATTAGAAGGGAGGGGCGGTACACTTGTAATCTTATATTCTTTCGGCGACTCTGCCGCTCACGATAAACTTATCACGGGGACGAGATGTATCTCAAAGATCTCACTACCAGCCGCGCTGTTACACGGAGTAGCCGATACCTACTGCACGACTCCGCCATACATTCCGTGCCTTCGACAAGGAATGTCTGGTCATACATCCCGGACTGGGTCCACGAGAGTTGGCAACCTCCTCTTGTTTCTGGTGTAAGAAACCTGCCCAGTGCGTCCGACTCGGTGACGACTAAAACTTTGATCAAGCATTTTCTCGAGGTGAACGACGTCTATACATCTTATTTCGGAGCTTGGCGAGGCCCTGATTTGATGCACGATTCGACTGATCTTTCGCAGATCATGAGATATATCGGACGGCGGTTGAATGTGATATGCAGGACACAACTGGAGATCAAGGTCACTGCTTTCAACTCAGACCTCTCTCCAACCTGGGTACATTCCGAACGGATTCAGGGCTCAGCATACCCCGTTGCAGTCTGCCATGAGCCTGTTCGGTTCTTGCGCGAGCAAGTTATTGAGCAATGTCGTGGAGACGGTTTACCGTTCATTCAGGTTGTTTTTTGTTTGCATGGCATGTGATTCTGCCACTCACAACAGTCCATAGCTTAGGTAGAATCTCTCCCCCATAGCAATCTCACTCCTCATCCCTCTCACACATCGATACTGCTGCCCCCACCGTAGCCGTATCTCATCACTTTTGATATGCAGTAGACTTATATATCTGACTCGATAAGCCGTAACTCAGATTCGATTATCCGTCTCAGTAAGTCAGACTCCTGTCATTTTAGGAGTCTCTCATGAAGGAAACCACACTTCCTGTATTCTTGGCTATTCAAGTATTCAACTGACGTCCTGAATCTTTGTCATTCGACATACGAGTCGCTTGAGTCAATCGACCTATTATATGTTTCTAATACGAGAAGATTCAATCATGATACGGTAACTGTGAAGGGAATTGCTGGGCTCCTCATTTTTCAAAGCATGGCGTGAAGCCGAGAAGACTGCTGCGGGGGCTAAGCATTCCTAACGGTCAGACCACGCACGGCGTTAAGCGGAAAGCTACCATCAAAGCTCCTGTCTAAGACGCTGACGAAAGTAACCTGCTCGTTCATCACATCTCCTTCAATATCTGGCCAGGCCAAGAGCACCGCGCGTAATAATCGAAAGCAAATGTCGCCCAAACTCTCTGCAATTGGGTACAGACTCATAGTGCTTTAACCTAGTCACGCAGGCTTTTGGCATCCCCGGAGAAAGAAATTGTTGTCAAGTGAGGTGGGGTTGGTATAAAGTCATAAATACACTGAAAGACATTATCTCGCGATCATCAATGATCAACCTTCCAAATTCCAGCATCAGTCTCCACCATATCACTTTAAGGTCTTCATTGCGCAGCACGCGACGAGACCACTCATAACTGTCCTGAGCGAAGCGTTTCCCCAAGTCTGGACCTTCCCGCTCTTGCGTCAGGTACCGTACAATCTCAGAAAAATCACGTACATCAATGCTGATTGGTATGTAATGAGCCTAAGGGATTAACCAGTCGTCATACGACTCCTAGTATAGCGTTGGCTTAAGAACGGCCGATTCTGATCTCAAGAGACGGCAAAAGCGACCACTTGGGACAGTCACCGTCCAGATCGCCTGTAGCAAAATTTGTATCCCTTGGTGATATATCGTCTGTTTGACCCTCTTTGATCTGAAATCCATTTACTTATTCTTCACATAGTGGATCGTCTTATTGGACGGCTGCTGTCATTCGTACACGGGTAAAATTGGACAGAGTCGCCATGGTTGACTTTATCTGGGCGCAGTCGAAGTCGTGTAGGGCCATTCGCTCATGTCGACTCAGTAGTTTGACTGGTAATCTCTTATCCAAAGTTATAAGAATCAGACGTTAGCGCTGAAAGTCTCGCCTGTTGTCAGAGTTGGATTTATCTCCTGTGTTGAATCCAGCCAAATAGACGACACTCTGTTTCTGTTCCTAATCACCGTCCACTGCTCCTTTGTAATTCTCCATTCGCATTCTTTCGGCATGAAAGGAACTAGGGTAAAGGAGGTCATTGAAACAACATGGTTTGGATTGCGACAACACCGGAACTGGGGAGTGTGCGATGGTTATCGATGCAGGATGGCTTAGCCCGGCATGATGGTTGTGGAGTTCGGAAAATTGACAGACATCCTTGCTGAGTGGGAGATTTTCAAGGAATGCCATGTCTGTGAGAAACGAAGAACCTACAGCGAGTGCAGAGAGATTTCGTGCTGGTGTATCAAGGGGCAAGACACAGCAAGTATATTCCAGGTGTTTTGTTTGCTAATATCCAACTAATCGATAGATTGAGCGAGACTGGCTAGGCTAGACGGTGGCAGAGGAGTGAAATGTGGAGCCCAAGCCACGCGCAAGACACGCGACAGCATATCATGGGGGGCGGCGATCTTCGCTTCATCCATGGTGCTTATCGCTAGTGTCATATTCGGTAGCGTTTGCCAAATCTCGACATCGAGCCAGGAAGAGAAATTGAAAGTCATCCTATGGTCAGGGTTGACTAGTGAAGCCTGATCGTTATTAGATATAGTCAAAGTAAACAGTTCATTTCGCGGATAAGCAGCAGCAAGATCCTCGATGCGCGCTCTAATGTCAGAGGGAGTCACACCCCATAGCAACTGTATATCTAGCTGTAATCCTGGTGTCAAACTCATCAATTAACAGGAAGTCTTGTTTCTTTGCCGCATAGAATTAATTGTCAAAATGTGCGGGTGGTTTTCGTCCGTGATTTCTCTCATAATTCTTGCAGCCGGCTTTGAAAGTCGAAGAATGGCTTTCGATCAACGAATCAAAAGTATTCTCTGCTTCTGGTAAGATAATAACTTGGACAAGTGGAAGGCTCCAGCTTTACTTACCGGCTCGACTGCCGTGACTTGCCCCGCCAGGTGTCTAAGGTGGACGGACGATGAGGGAATAGCATTGCTAAATGTTGAAAATTGGTACAAGAAAGCGAAAGAGGGCAGTAGGAGAAGACCTATTAGTTCTCGACGTGCCGCGGATAGGGTTAAACCGTCGACTCCAATCTTCAATGACAAGGCTGAGACCAGCAGTGCGATGAGCCTCTCATACGATTTTTGTTTTTTCAACAGTTGTTTTTTCAACAGCCCATACAGGGCGGTCACTGAGGAAGATTCCATGGTCAAGGCGGGTAGGGTGGGGCAGTCATGAGCTGTGGGGAAAGACTGTCAGCCGACCAACTCAGAGGATCCGAACTGGAAGCGCATTGTCATCGTACACACCAGATAAATAGTACAGGCGAGGTTTTCGGTTCTAACAAAAGCCATGAAGACTACCTGCCACGGTATCACTGTCGAGGGAGGCCATATGTAAATTACGATCGTGAGGGTAAGCAGTACCCGGAGAACAAGAGTCTCTGCTACCTTGACATGCGATAGCCGTTCGACCTGTTCGCGGCATGTGTCGAGCAAGGAAACCCCCAAGGATTACATCAGGGCATAACTCGCTAGCAACACCATCCATGTTGACAGACAGCATTGACATCCACAGGAAGAAGAGATAATAAGCATATTGCTAGCAAGCCCCAGATGACAGTTTGTGGCCTCAATTGCAGTTTCGGGCAGCGTCAAGGTAGCCGTTGGTGACCCGCTAGGCCAGGGAGCGCAGGCAATGTCTGTTCTCGATATAAAATTGCGAAGAAGCCAGATACTAAGGCCTAGGGCTGTGAGCGTTCCGAGTTTCATTGGCTCCCTGGGCAGACGCATCAAGGCTCGATAGCTTACCGTGGCTACAGTACTAGTGTGAATTACGTTGATAACCTAGCCGGCTGAATGTTACCGAAGGCGAAGCTCCTCACAGATTTATATTGACCTCATGGGGAATTTCCCTCGCCGGGAACCCCTCTTTGATAACGTTGACTTGGTGTCTTAGCAGCGTCTTCCACCTCAGAGCGAAAAGTAAGCCCGCCCAAGAAATATATTCGACGCAGATATCGTGATTCGTGGACCAAAACCCGTTCGCATATTCGTTGCAAGCCGCGCTTACGGCAGACACGAGGTATGCGGTACTTCTATCCATGCTGAGTATGTATTAGATTTGCGAAGACAAAGAGCCAGCAGAAAGAGACCACTCTGTCCTTAGGGAGGGGGTCCACGATAGAAGACAATCACTTCGTTAACGATCTAGATCCTCCCCTGAACCACTTGAGCGGCTCGAATATTCTTCAGAGGGGTCAATACACGCTATTTAGATTGTATACCTACGAGCAATATGTCTTAAAGTGGGAGAGGTGTCCCGACAAAATTTATTACAGGCCTGAGCGCAAGTCACTCAAGAGGTACAGATTTTGTTGTCTCTGCTCTTTCTGATCTATACAGTCCAACAGACTCCGGTATTTCAGTTAACATCTACCAGTCGCTGGCCAGCTACACCATCCCCGGACCTGCTCCGTACACGGGTGCCGTCTCCATTGATCAAGCTATCTCAGTCATCGCGGGATTCAGTGATGCCTCTACCACAACCACCGCTGCAGGTGGGGCCGGACCATCGACTAAGCAGATATCAACAAACTACGCCGGTCACCGAGACAACCACAATACTCGGTAACCTCTACTCATTGGTATGACTATCTCTTTACTCGTGAAATAATTCGTACAGAGCGAACGTGAAAGTGAAATTGAATGAAATTTACCAACTAGATCCTCAGATAAAACGCGCCTGAACAAGCACACCTGCTGCATAGGACTAGCTTTGTAGACCTAAAATTTGCGATGGAGGGAACGTGGATGGAGTTTCAAAGAGACAACCAGGGCCCCCAATATTCTGAAACCCATCCAGACCGAGCAACAGCCCTATCCTCTGGTGTTCGATGGTCACAGTTCTCTCCATCAAGTAGACAGCTCCAGGATATCAGGGTATTTGTAGGACCATATAGAATTCACAAATGGACCACTTTCAAGCCATCAGTGCCGGAGAATTTGAATTCCATTTTTTCACCCGTCGAAGCCAAGATCGACCGCTAGCCGCACGGGGCCAGGCGTTAAGGCTCCTCCAATCCCGTCTATGTCTGCAACTGAGCTGGTATAGGCATTATTTGTGATTTTAGCATCCCAGGTTGTGGAAGAGCCCTGACAACCGAGCAAATCTTCATTCCCTGTATCTGGAGCTATGCCCTTTGTACTTGTATTACTGAGACATCGAAACTCGACCAGCCTCGATTTGTGGACGATCCAAAATCAAATTCACCCCAAGTAGAAGCGTAACCACCGTACTGATCTTTTGAAATAGTGTTCGTGTTAGAAGCGGCCCAGCCACCTTGAGAGTCTGCCGCGAATGCTATGTACTGGATTGCTCCCGGCGCCAGAGTGAAAGAATGACAGGCATTTCCATACCATCCAGTCAACTGTCCGTCCGGACCAACTTTGTTCCAAATTGCGACATACCAGGTCTCTGCAGAAGCTTGGCTGAATCTAACGACGTACTGGTACTTGGAAACCTCTGTAGGGGAGATGGAAATGATGTTACTTCCGTATGGGCGACCGACGTTACCTATGTAAGAAACACCAGAGCCACTTGACTGTGTTGGACAAACCCTAAACCCTAACCCTAACCCCTAAACCCCCTAAAGCCCGAACATAAGCTTTTGCGCAAGATTCTACCACTTTATTACAAGCACGTGCAAGATAACCCTGATACGCTCATCTCGAAATTCTATGGGTTGCATCGAGTGAAGATGGCTTATGGACGGAAGATCCACTTCGTCGTGATGAATAATCTCTTCCCACCGCACCGTGATATCCACCAGACACGTGGATTACGTTGCTCATATTGCGGATATCACGTCACGCTGAGCGCGTCACGTGACTTGGCTCCACACCAAAGCAAAAATTCCTAATGGTGATGAGCACGTAACGGAACCACGACAAATTAGCCAGGCCATGACCGGCGCACACTCTTCTGTGATTCGGTCAAAGCTAAGAAAATACCTCTCTATGAGCCGAAAGAAAATTATCTTAGCATCCCAGTTGACCTGAGATAAAAATTGTTCTTGGAGCGGTGTCTCTTGATTATTAAGCGGGCGGCATCGCTACTAACTATCTAAGATATATTCAATCCTCTTCACGTCTGCCGTCGACGACAAACATACTGATTTCTTGAGATACAGATCCCAACGAGATCCTGACCAATTTTAAGAGATGAAGAATGGTAAAGAAAGGAATCAATCTTTGAGGGTCATAGCGATATTTATCTGAATTTGGGCGAGAAAAATTGCGAGGTTCAAAGGAAGGCCATTAATTCGACAGGGTGCGAAAGTCAGTCGCATTCAATTGCCGCTTTTGGTCTTTTCGAAAAGATTTTGTCTCATTTAGACTGAAAGAGACTTGAATCTCTCTCTACCTCTCGCAGGTAGCTAATTATGTGCCAGAGTACAGGGTACGCTCACTATTCTGGTAAAGAACAAAACGACGGGCGTTGCATCGTACGTTTGTAGCGTGTCTTTGGAATATTGGCAAGGGCCCGCTCTTCTCAAAGGAAGAGGGATGTCAATGTTGAATAGACCTCGCGTCAAGTAAAACCTCGTGGAAAGTCGGAGAAGTCGCTGTGAGTTGATGATGCATGGATGAATTTGCAATAACCGGGGATGTTCATGATTCTCCAAGATCTCGCCAGTTTCCATATGTACGACACACCACTCTTGATTCCAGGCAAGACCAGTAGCAGTCAGATTCCAGTGTTGGTCACCAGGAATCTGGAACCCGTGGCATCCTATAATAGGGTAGATTACTGCTGATGTTTCATCAAGGTTTGGTGAGACGTGAACTTGTAACTCCACTGATTTTGACAGCCTCCGCGAGGAGCTTGCCATCTATGAAAAACTGTTAGAAATTGTAATTCGGGAAAATGGTGTGGTAGCAAATGACAAAAGCACTGGTCACGCCTTCAATACCACCGACCTGTGCTATAGCCTAATCTTGGCTCGCTCGAGGTATTTGTTAACGAGTGTTCAGAACTGCAATAAAAAGGTAGTGGCTGCGTGTTAGGTATTTGTGCAAGACGCGCTGACCCAGAAACGATGAGCTTCATAAGGTCAGCGCCAATCACCTGCTATGGCGAGTATTTGGCTGAATATCCTCCCACTATCTATTCGGAGATTGCTCATTGAAAAGATCATCATAGCGTAACGTAATTTGCCATTGCTTATATACAAGTCGATAGGAATGTGGATATGATTTGCGTGTTATAAGCTGCTTTGACGATTTCCTGGGAAACGAATGACGATCAGGAAAACAAGCACAGTGTGGAATTGAGGGCGAAGTCTTGAAACTTAAGATGGGAAATCACTGTTGTAGTATAATGAAGCCCAGGGCAGAAACGGATCTCCAAATAATAACCAAGAAGCTCGAAGCCAACCTTGAAGTATAGATAGAAAGTGTAACTGCTAGTTTGGCAGAGGTTTTAAGGTCTCTGTGAGGGGGTTCATTGAAAAGCTGAATCTTGAAATTTGGAAGTGCCCGCGACTTCAACGATTCTTCATTTACATGGCGACCAGGCCATGTTCGTTGTGCTTTCAAGTTTGTGACCCTGTGTGAACTCAGAACTGCGTCACATGTCTGCTCTTCTTTCCGAAATATCATGACATTTGCTTATCAATCAGATGAAGGGATTATTTTCATATAATCCGAAGTACGATGTTGGCACAGTAATATCATTACTCCACGAACTTTCCCTACATCACTGTTCTAGCATCTAAAGACGTCGCTAGTTTTTGAAAATATTTGATGAGCAGGCCTATCTTTTGACCTGAGAATTGGGCTAACACAGCTAGATCGTGCACCATTTAACACGTGATGACCCGCTCAACGTAATTATTTGATGATTTGAAAACCACGCTTCTGCGTTGATCTTGCCAAAGGAAATGAATGGCTCAGTGCAAAAGCCGATTGACACGGGCCAGCGTGTCAAAATTACGCTATTCAGCGGAACTATTTGTAACCAATGTACATCTTACTAGTAGTTTATCTTGCGATCTCTACTGGATGTGGGTTGTCGGTATCAAGCACAACAAACACAAGTCCAATGATGAAGCTTCATTCGTTGGAAGGATTTTTGCTGCGTAGATGTGGTGATCAGTGGCATGGGAGGATAGCTGAGTTCAGCAAAGCTTCAACAGTGATATATCCTGTACACATGGTAGTAGTACTGTACGACACGTGAGTGACAGTGGATTGAATATGGAACACAGAGATCGTAGTTGTCATCTCACTCGTTGTCGAATCTGAGCCTGCTTGAATTGAGGTTGCATAGGTATTCACAGGAAAAGGGCCATCGCTTGATTGAGTTTGAACAGTCGATACTGGATGTGATTCCCTCGTGCTCACTAGGCTCTTTGAAACAGACTCACTCAAAAGAGAGCCGCTTTTGGAAGAGCCTTGGCTATCGCTAGTTTTCAATGCAGAAGAGGATGTGGTAATCGAAATAATGGAGCTTGACTGCGTCTCGGATGTTTCGTAAAAGCTGACCAAAGCGGTAGAACAATGCTGAGCCGGCGAAGACTCTATGACGAGGCTTGTTGATACGGTTGTCGAAGCGGGGGTGCTGGGGCTCTGAAAAGATACGGAAGGCGAAATCGAGGTAAGACCGTAATTGCTGCTGGTCAGATCTTCAGAACTTTCTGCAGATTGTATAGAAGTGAAGACACGCGTTGTCTCGGAAGAACAGTCAATTGCACCGGCTTTACAACTCATCACAGCAGCAGAGCTGGTTGTGTGTGTGGGCACACGAGAGTTGGTACTCTCTCTGAGGGTTGCGGAGGCAGTTGTTTGAGAAAGAAGACTCCATATCGTTGATGTCGAGACTTGAGGCTCTGGCCGAATCGTTGAGACCGTGGCGATGGGGCTTACATATAGTGTAGTTACCGACGATGTCACTGAGGGAAAACTCGATGTCCTATCGGCAGGACAATCGATTACCGTTGGTGCACAGCTGATGATTGTCACCATTTGTGTTGTATAGACTGTCAAGATGGGATATCGGGCGAGCAAATGTGACTCCGACTGGATCACGAAGGCATGAGTACTTGTGAACATCGACAGCACGTATACGGCCACAAGGACGATGTACATCGTGGTTGAACTTTTGCTTGCTCTTCAACGGAACTTGAACCAGATTGTTGATCAATTATGGATGTCAAGAATCCACGGAGTATTGGTGATGGCAGAGGATGCCGCTTTGTACTCTTTTTGATGGTGCTATTCTAGCTCATGCGAATGGTGTCTTATCCGGTGTTGAAAGCAGCAAGAACTACGCGAGACAGATCGGCAATAATATATGATTTTCGTAAAGATCAGAGGTCCGCTGCTGCTAAACCTCCCCACAAGTAACGACCACAAAACATTGATTCTGCATCTATCTGGCCCTTGAGTATCCGGTTCTTCATAATCTTAAGTCGGTAACAGGCCGGCACTCAAGGTGGCGTTCTCTATTCCATCATCATTTCGCGATCTTTCTCTGCGTGTTTCTTGATGGCCTTCTTTGCTGAGTATCTTCTCCACCTGATGAGACATGACTTCTGGTTTTTCATTACTCCACCCGGCAATTATTCAGATGCGCGCGGTAAGACTATGTGTAGTACGAGCGTGAGAATTGCTGTATTGTGAGGAAGCCCCTTCTTCTATCTTTGAAAAGCTGTTGAGCGATTGCTGTAGGAGATCACGAAACGACTTGCTTATTCTATTGAATGATTTCGTTGGCTTTGCTTAGTAAATAATTAGCGATGATGATATCAGGGTTGGATCTGACCATGTCTATTGTCCTCAGCTTTTATATTCCCCGTTGTAGTATCTCTTACTCCAACCAATTTTCATAAATAGCCTCAGTTCCTGTACCCGAACAGTGGAGGTCACGACGCTTTCGTTTTGAATCAATAATTTTCTATACCCATACATCACCTTCTGAGATGGCAAACTCACAGCCCGGTAGCGACGTACGCCATTATGAGCAAGGCATATGCGAGGTGAACATCACGCGAAGCTGGAGAACCAGCAAAAAAATAATAGTCTCGTTTGGCGCTATACTAAGTTTCTCGGTGATGTGAGCGAAATCTATGTCAAGCGGTACAAGCCACTTTGCTGAAAATCAACCTAGTACTCTCGCCACCTCAATTTACGTTGCCAGTATACCGGGGATCATGGTCGAGTTTCACGTTCGAGAAACCTTGGCCATTCTACCAGTCACGTTGTACGGCTTAGGATTCGTGTTCGGGCCAATATGCACTTCTGCTTTGTCAGAGCAATTTGGCAGACAATATATCTACAAGGTCTCGCTTTTCTTACTTACTATTTTCAGTATCATGGGATGTTTTGCAAAGAACTACTGCACAATTGCAGTGTCCCGTGCGCTGGCTGGCGTCGCCGGTTCGCCGTCTGTCAGCGTATTCGCTGGCGTTCTGAATGATATGTGGAATATCCCTAGCGATCGGCTGGGCGTCCTCGCCTTTGTCATGTACGGGCTGGGAGGCGCAATCGCACCATCTCTTGGTCCTATTGTTGGCGAGTCTATCGTGGCAACCTACGGTTGGCGATCATCGTTCTGGCTCACATCTGTGCTGGCTGGATCATGCTTTCTTGGCATGGTGTTCACGCCAGAGACGTTTCAGAACGAGATAATGCGGCAGAAGCAAAATGCGCCACGACGAGGACTGGTGAAAGCACTCGTGCCTGCGCTTAGGCGCCCCTTGGAGCTGCTCTGGTTCGAGCCCGTCATATGGCCGACTGCGCTTATTGTGACAACAAGCCAAATCGTACTCTTTATTCTTTATGTCAGCCTACCAGTGGTCTTGAAACAGACCTATCAGTTCTCCCCGTATCACGTCGGGTTAGCATTTTTGCCGTTCATGGTCGGCACCCTGCTCGCAGTACCTGCGCTGGCTATGCAAGATCGACGGAAACGGTCTCTACCTCAACCAGCCCCGGAGGACAGTCTTGTTGGAGTCAAAGTCGCAGGAATCTTACTTCCCATCAGCTTGATCTGGTATGTGATCTTATTGGCAATTATGTTCTCACGGCCTGAAGTATAACTAATTAGCGGCTAGGCTTGGCTGGACTATGCGACCAACGGTCCACTGGATCTGGCCTCTTCTTTCACTTGTGGCGCATGGATGGTCATTTGCGATGGAACAGGTATGAATAAGCCGTTTGACATTTAGTGCGAGTGAGATCTTTCGATATTAACTTCGTCCACAAAGCTTTCCTACCCGGTCTACAAAAACGAAATCTATGGCATCGAGTATGGAGCGTCATCTCTGGCGGTGGACATCGCAATGCGATACTTGCTTTCCTCAGTCTTCCCATTGTTCACAGCGCCAATGATCGACTGGATGGGATTTTCTTGGCTGATGACTACGTGCGCGGTGATTATAGTTGTCTTTATACCTCTACCGTGGGTGCTACAGAAAAAGGGAGAATCGTGGCGTGCACGAAGCAGGTTCGTGGGCCATGATTCCGGACATTGTGAAAAAAAAACCACCCACGAGTCACATCAACTTCACACAGAGTCTCGTCCGTCTATGGCGCTGCCAAAACGTCCGAGTGCTGGGACCGTCACTGTCACCATCACAGCGACTGGTGCCCCCTAGGATACTGCGTGTACGATGTTTAGCGGCAACCAAGCAGTCTCACTCAGGCATGAACGTATTCTATACGGGGTCTTATATCGTGAGATTTGAATTGGAGATCATAAGGTGGTCGACTCGCGCCGGCTCAATGAAATTCAAATTGAATGAAATCTGATTATCGGCGAAACTCAGGATGTCCACCTTGTGATCTTCTTAGATGTCAAAGGCGCTTGTACAAGGGTCGCTTGGGTCACAGGGTGGCTGGAGGTCAATGATTTCCTACAAGGAATTACCCGCAACTACTTAGATTTGACAGTTTGAAGCGAGAATAATTTGAAAACGCACCGTATATTGATAACGTTAAAGTCATCTTTAGAAAAAAACCTGATGTTAGGCCGCCTGAGCGGGCTCTGATGGACAACGTTCAATTTGACGCCCAGCCGTGGCTCGGAAATTTTTAAAAAATAGCGCTTAGATATTTTTTCCATTCCCTCTGACGTTGAAGAGCCTCCAATCAAATAGATATTTACTGTTAGATTAGCTTTATCAACCAGATAATGACACCATAAGCCCCCTTCAAGTGTACGCGGCCGAATCTTGTCTAGATTGCACGAAGACGCTGACGTATCCCTCGTTATTTATCATACAACGATTGCCAATACGTGCATCCAATATTACATTTTCTACGAGTGGTGTCTCTGCAAAGAAGAAGCGGGTTATCGGTTTTGCTTGCGTCACCGCTACAAAAACTATCCTGGAACCAAGATCGAAGTTGGTCACGCATACTGCTTTTGTAATCGCCACGCTACGCACAGCTACCAGACCGAGAGACAATTCCGGAAAGCAAAGAAAAAGTGCCGGGAGCTTCTAGCAGAGGAACGTCTCGGGGATAGAAAGTGGTATCGAATTTTATAGCGAAGGGTTGTACACATACAGGAAATATTTGATACTTGCGACCGAAGCTATGAAGTGGTGAGGACATTATCATCAGTTTCCTTTTGGTCAGCGAAAGTCTTCATTGCCAATGCGAGACTGGTGGTGAGAGCTGAATTGATATTTACACTCCGTGCGTGGGTATGTATTTCCTGCGTGTGTAGTGCCTCCTTACTAGTCAAGAATCCTGCATCTTCCAGTGTTTATATTGTGTATTCTAAGTCAGTATATTGTAGTGGAGCACGCGACATGGTTATTTGTGCGCAGTATGCGAGAAAGTCATGCCCTGTACCCTACCCTTCTGGGCGGGCGTGGAGGCATGGTGAAAGATGACCAAACATGTACCAAGGATATCATAAATTGACAATTGCCCTGGTTTATATGCCTCAAAACGTGACCGCTGTTCTAAGGTAGTGAGGCAGATATTAGCGGAATTGGCAAATTGAAAGATTGTCAAATTATTGGTAGAAAGTCGCCAACGCCGAAAATTCTCTCAGCGAGCCTCGTTCAACCACTCCACGACCGCTAGATTCACAAGCCAATCAACTTTCTGTATTCGGCAGCGATGGAAAGAGCACTTCGACCACCACGCGCTATCTTTCGCTTCCGCGCTCTGTATCTCAGAAGAGCGTACAAAATTCCTAGTACGACTAAGCCAGCGGCGATGCTACTACACACGACAATTGTCGAATTTGCCGTGCTCCGTTGTTCTGTCTGGTGGTCCTCGTGGGGCGGTAGGTTGTCTTGTGCCGATTCTGCTGTGACACGCAGATCTGTTATACCACAGGAAACACCTCTGAATAGTAAACTATACCCGTCGCTTCCAAGAGGATCCTAAGTGTAGAGTTACCTGGTGGATTCTGGCAAGAATGATGCATGGACGCTGCTCTTTTCCGAGCTTGTGATCAGGACTTGCTTGGTAGTGGACATTCACGAGAAGATGTGAAGTTCACTCTTAAAGCAATTATATCAAGGAAATGTTCTCTACGGTGAGTTAAATTTGTTGGCAATTCTATCGAAACAGGTGTTAGAGTCACTAGAACGTAGTAAAGGCAGGTTGCCACCGCTCGTGTTCGTGATTTCGAACTGCGTGGTGTTGCTTATATAGGCTTGGAACATCATATATTGCCCATAAAAGCCTTACAATTTCTTGAATCATTGTCACCTTCCAATTACATTGTCGTGTCCATTTGTGTACAGCCCCCCGCTTTTGGCTCATCTCGAGTAGTTATCGCCATTTCTGGTGGCCCATGGCCTTACACCTTGCCTATATAGACAACAACTGAGCACAATAAGGCGGAGTTGGAGATCTGTCTCACCTCTGCTGTTTCACGCCAATTCAAGCAACGCTAAATGGGCGTCTCGCACCGGAAGATCAAGGCTCTTTTAGAAAGTCTGAGGGCCCAAAAAGACATGATAGACCAACACATGCAATTCCTTGCTTGTCAACTTGACCATCTGGAAGCCGCAGAAAGATTACTGGTTCGAATGAACGCGGTACCGCCCCGTGGCAGGGGCTGGCTTGAACTACTCCACAGAGCCCCAGTGCTTTCGGACGACGCATCTTGATCTCCTGAGGCCGTGTTTTCCATATCTGCAGGAACAAAATCCGGCTGGTCACCCTCCGTGAAAGATCGTGAAAGATGTGTGGGAATGTAGACAACTAGATCGTTTGAAAATATAACCTTTCCTACTCACTCCGATCAAAGTCGTGTTTTTTCCTTGAAACATTCAGAGGCGGCCGAAAGAGACATCAAGGAGTGAGCGTATTTCAGGCTATAAGACTTGATCATTTTACCGTTAGCTTGTATTAGTTTCTTGTATCCAGGCGGAAACTCTGTGTTTCCCCATTCCAATTGGGAAGGTTACTTCCCCATAGCGACGGGCAAATATTTTATCACACTCATAATTGAGCGCCTTAAACTCATCTGACTTCCTTTTTTCCATCTGCTCTTTACTGTGGCCGTATCAGCTACCAGAAAAAAACCTTAATAAAATAGGCTATTACACCGGCGAAGCGTGGACCATTGAAGCTACGATGAAGAGCAAATCTGTGTCCGATAAGTTGCATACTCCTCAAATTCTTTTCTACTCAATTGCGTAATTTCTGCAGCAGTAGAATTACATCCTGCCACAAAAGAAATTCTGGAATCCATATCGAATGTGTTCGCAGTGAAACTTGTTGGGGTTTGTTTCACAAACCTTGTAAGAGGTGATGTATCAGGCAGGTTCTACAGTAATCGTCTCAAGAGGTAGTACGTTAGCCAGCCACCAGAAACGCGGCCGAATCCTCGATCGTGGGTTCCATTTCGCGAAGACCCAGGCTTTGATGGTCTGCTCGACGAGACCCAAAAGGCGTCCCTGCTGCGAGCGTCTCGGCTAGCTATCGTGGGTCTAGATGGCGCTGGATGGGCTGAAATCCCATTCTTGAAAAAGAAAAAAGAAAAGATTGCTAATTATACAAGAAAATCCAAATTGGTCTTTAGGCTCTTCTTTCGAGTTCGTGAGAAGTCACCAGAAATATGCTTCCGCTAGGAGAACGCGCGCAATGCAGACCGTCTCAAACAAAGTTTCGTTGACAATGCCGAACATCTTAAGATCCCACGAGGCCAAGATCCAGAAGTCAGCATATTTGAAATCTTTATCAACTGCCTCCGCAATGAAGAAAATGAAATTTTTGGTTCTTGTCTTCGATAACGTGGTTCAAGGTTACCCACGAATGGCAAGTACTATCAAAAACCTTGGTAATCGCTTGCAAGCTGTACAAGTGGCTCACTTATCATCGCCACTCGAGGCTACGGTACGGCGCTGCGTTATGTCCATCTGAATGACCTCTTGCCAGTCCAGCCAATGAATGAATATCACGCAGTGAAGTTGATGCAGAAGAGATTGGACGTGCGAGTACATTATGAAGGCAATGATTTTGGAATACTTGTACGTGCGGTCGAGTATATGCCGTTGACTATCATACAGGCCGCATTTTATATCAGTCACCGTTGGCCGATCTCACCGGTTGGGAAATACAATGATAATTTCAAAAGGGTGATGGTAAGAAGTCAGGCTCTTGAGTTATGGAGCAGCGCCTCTCATAGAGACGAGGAGGAGTTATGTGCCATTTTGACAACTCTACAATGGTCGTTCGATCATCTTCGCCGGTCTAAGCCATCAGCTGCGGATCTTCTCCCCATTCTGAGCTTTTTACACCAAAGCAGCATTCCTGATCAGTTCTTCGGCAAATCCCCATAACAAGCATTGGGAAAAGTCCAACTTTGAGGAAGGAATTCGGGTCTTGCAGGAGTACTTGTTAATATCCATGATTTCAGAAGCCAATACATGCCAAATGCCCAACCTAGTACAGATTGCGGTACGCGACTGGCTAGATATCCTCGGTCAGACTGAGAAGTGGAGAGGAAGCTTTATCAATATCCTTTCTTGTGAAGTTCCAACGCGATCTAAGCATATAAGAGCAATGGAGTTCCTTTTCACGCATATTCAATCAGCCGCCTCGGAAGAGCCAGCTTTGGGTGCACTTTCTGAATGGTCTCTGGTACTGCACAAGGAGGCGGAGTATGTACAGAAGACAGGAAAGTTGAGAGAAATGTAGCGAATGGCACGCAGTGTTTCATAGGCGCGTGAAAAGCTGTTCGGACAAAAAGATGAATGCACTGTGGCGAGTTTCAAATTTCTAGCTGTGGCGCAAGGGGATACTGCTACATCGCAAACGCACTGTTATAAATCAGATTGATCTGCAAATAGCCTCATTCAAGTCACTTTATTCCAGTCTCATTTCGACTGTATGCTGTTGTATTGTTTCTCAATTACAACAAAATACAAAGACTTACTCTCGCTACAGAGAGAGACTTAGTTGAGGATGGACAAGAAGGAGAAATATCGAAATGAGGTTTTCGCAAATTAGATCATGAATTTGTGAAACTAAATCTGATTTCGAGCAAAGAAAAAACCTTGTCAACCAGGAAAGATAGACGAACGCGCTCAATCAAAACGGATCAGGAAACCATAATCTTGTGTACACCCAAAGGTTCCGGTGACAGTCTTTCTCTGTACGAGGCAGAGTGTGGCTTGCCTCATTTGCTGAAGCTGATTTTTTCCTCCTCTTTGCCTCTCGGGCAGCTTCCTTTTCTTCGCCCTTTCTTTTTGCCACTGCGATATCCTTAAATGTCATGATCTGAACCTTCCCGACCACGATTGACCTTTTATGTTTGCGACTTTTGTCCTCGTCATTTGGTGGAAATAAGTCCTGAGTCTGCCTTGTTTCCCATATTGAACAGAAACCCAATAGACACATAGCCTTGCTGGCAATTGTGTGTAATATTAATCCCGTCACATTCACATCTTGACTCTTGAGGCTTTCCAAGAAAAGCAGGTACTGTTGAAAACGAGGGATCTATAATTAGATAATAAGACTCGAAACAACCGATCGAACATGATAATCAGAAAATACAAATGATGAATTTATTCGGTTTCTGTCCCACAAACTTTAGATACCAACTTTCGGGTTGACAGCGAGACTGGATCCTTCCATGCGTGTTACTGATCTAGCAACGTGAGCTCTGTTCAAAGCAAGCGACATTGCGAACTGTACCACTTGGTCTGCAAAATCAGGAATTTTGACAACCCAGAATCTACCCTCTGGCACCGCGCTAGCGGGCGGCCGTCGAGAGAAGAGAAAGCGGAGAAACAGCGTTATCTTACGGACCCCGAGGAAAAAGTGCGTAAAGGTTCTTTCTACGTTTCGCAAACAAAGTTCTTCCATCGCCACGTGTTTATGGCCTACCTTATCTTCAAACAACATTTTTCTGTATTCTTTGACGATCATGCTGTCAAGCCACCTAGTTTCGGTTGGCTGCGAGCTTTCTTTAAATGGTAGCCAGAGCTCAAATCTAGAAAGTTCTAAACCCATCGATTGGAAACTTCATAACCACAACATTGATAGTAAAATTGAACAATGGTTCTCGCCTTAACTTCAGGATCATAACATTGACCCGTCAATTTTTGCAATATGGACGAGACGGGAGTCATGCTCATGCTCAGTGGCCCCCGTGCGTTGAACGTCTCAGAAGACACTGAATGCGACAGAAAGAGCGTTCGCAGAGCTTTCAATCCTCTTCAAATACCTTCAACAACTTGATAGTCTCACCCGCCACATAATCAACTAGTAGAATTGTGGTGAATGAGGTAGACATTTTGCCAATTCCAGCTCTTTTAACGACCGTTCAAGTTGAACGAAAAAGGAAAAACAGAAAATGAAGATTGTGAGATCAAACCGATATGCTATCTATCTTCGGCCCGTGCATAAGGTTCAACAACAAATATTGTTGTGCTGTAAAGAAGTAAGGTGACTTCAAGGTATGCGAACTGTGCTACATACTAGAGGTCAAATATTGGTCTCTTCGTCTGATTGACTGGAATATTTGTTTTTGTGCTTCACCGTTTGAAATCAGTAAGACTTGAATCGCGACCTGTCGATGTCTTTCCTTGTATGACCGCGCCATGATTTGCACGCGGTTATTGCTCGGGACTGAATCAGTGTAAGAAGCTGACTCTGCCGTTACAAGTGCTAAATTTGAAGACAGTACAAGTCCGATTGGTGCTTAATATTCAAAGAATCGCGATGAAGGTATCGCTTACTCTACGAGCTCACTGTTGTCTGATTGCGGACGCATATTGCCTAAGGTTGACGTTCACCGGGTATCATAATTCTGTACTTGCCCTGGCGTCAAGATCGACTTTACGTGAATTTGGTGCTCATATCTTACGACTCATAAAAAGTAAAAAAGTAATTCGACGAAACAGGATAATTTAAGAAACAGAGTGTGTACGTTATGTCTTATCATACAGCTATATGTCCGTACCTTGTTAGCACAGGCCTGAGAATTCCGAAATCGATCGTAGACTTCAAGACGTAGAGAGCGAATGGGTTCTCAAATATGATCTGACCATATAATGTTTTCAAGAAGGCATGAACTCATCAAACTTCTTGTTTTTCGTTCTCTTGGGGATTCCACACCCAGTGCCCCGTAGCGATGGAGACAAAGGATGAGATGGAGATCTTCAAGGATTTTGACCTCAATAATCTTGACTTGACCAAGGTTGACTACAAGAAGGTTTTGAGGGTGAAAGACACAGATACATATGACATCGTCAAAAAAGAATATTGGCGTTTAGGTAAGCTCTCTGTGATATGCCTTGTGGTCTAACGTAGCTGATGTGCGGCAAGCCGGAAAGTTTCACCCAGATAAAGGCCCACTACTCAATATCACGATACATCCTGCGAAATTCGTGATTATCGGAAAGGCCTGGGAAAACTACCAGGAGGTGGCGAAGCAGGAACAGCAGGAACAGTCTAAGGGGTCCAAAGGACGCAAAGAACATAGTAGGAAGACTGATCATTCAACGGATTTTCAGCCTGAAGCAGTGCCCAAGGCGAGATCACCGGCTGGATCATCGGCTGCTGCGCCCGAGGGAATTAGACGACAGAAGGTCAATAGTGATCGGTCGGCGACATCCTCATTTGCAGCGTTTGGCGGGCGCAGGTTCCACAAATATCATAGTCCAGCAACGTTGAGAGCCGGCACCCCTTCATCGAGAGTCTACAGTTACACAACAATTAGACTTTACTAAGTAGCAGTAAGTACAGGGGCAACAATCGTAAAGTCCACAATATGAACCAAGAGTTCGATCGGATGCGAAGCAGTCCACCTTACAGAGCTACAGAGAATTCCCCTTACACGCAGACACCCAGCAACAATCGTGTCAAAGAAGAAAAGGGCACAACATGTCGAGACGATCATGATCCGGATCCGCTGCCAGCCACATCATCACCTATCGCAACGCGACTGCAGCCGACCTCGGAAAATGCGGCCGAACGTGCACTCGGTAGTAGACTCATGTCCATTTCGCAATTTTTAGGAGTACAATTCGATTTCGAGCCCCGCACTGACGAATGGGTCATTCCCGCACCTCTTATCTCCAGGGAATTTGAAAGTTTTCAAAGAAATGAGCAACGTCGAGTCGTAGTCGGAGAATAGATTGCTTGAAAGAGATTGAATGAGAATGTAGCTTATCAACGGCCCCGGGTGACCGTCGGAGGGTTCGTATTTGAGCAAACCATTCGATCGCACTGTGCTGTCTCTTTTACCTTTCTAAATGGAATGTCGAGAGGATATTAGTGGAATTTTTCAAATCAATCTAGTATTCACGTGAGAACATTGACCAACGCATAGTAGCTAATAACCAGAGTGACAGTAGTTGACCAAATACCCGATTTCACCAAAATGTAGGCGGAAACAGGATGTTTGCTTGTTAATTATTCAACAATACACAATGCTCATGCTGATTTTTTATCTCAGTTGAGGCAAGTAATTTGTGTGACTTATGTGGCTTACGGAAATGTAGGAAGAGGCCTGCACATCAATGAACTCATGAGTTGGTGGAAGCACCTGAAGAGCTAGTGTAATTTAAAGCATTTCGGTACGTATCAGCAGACACACCAAGTCGTCCCTAGTTACGCGATGGATACACAGAGCAATCGGAGCAATCGCTTGAGCTTGAGCGGCGAAGTACGTGACACTTCTTGGTAGGCTGTGGCTATGACTTGGATTTCTTGAAGCTACACCCACACTTCCACTTTGCCCCCTTCTGCGCTTGAAAGCACCAGTGTCAGCCGCTGTCTCTCGCTTCCTACCGGTTCAATCGGCTCCTTCACAGGTAAATTTATTAGCGAGAATGTCTGCAGTATCCTGACTATAGTGTAAGACACCTCCATTTTAGCGAAATCCTCGCCCGGACATTGCCGGGGTCCACCACTGAAAGGAAAATAAGCCCAGCGAATCTTCTCAAGCTCACCGCTTTCCCAGCGCTCAGGTCGAAAGTCACATGCATCAGAACCGAAAAGGTTTTTTTTCGTGAATTCACGTACTGCGAAAATACGACCAGTTCACCTTTCCTTACCAACACTGGTTTGTCTCCTTCCGCCCCCACCCTATTGGGAGAAGAGTGGTTCGTACCGCTTCCCGATTGTTCAGCGAAACAGGAGGATAAAGACGAAGGCCTGTAAAGTACATAAGCGACTGCTCCGTAGGAATGTCCCAAACTGTCCCGACTCACTTTCTTCAATCACACAAGCAAGATATGGCATCTTCTTGATTTGGTCCCTTGTTGGTACGTGACCACCTTCCATGACTGAGACGATTTCTTGCCGCAGGCCTTTCATGTCATTCACATGAGGAACAAGGAGTCGACTGATTAGCAGAAAGACGACGTCAGCGCTGATATGATGGAAGTGTGGAGCCCGATACGTACAGTGTCCAAGATAAGCAGTATGCTGTTGTATCTCGGCCACCAAGCGAAACGTTCAGGACTTGATCACGGAGCTCCTTCACACTCGTCGACTCTTCAACTATCTGCTGTATAAAGCCACTTTGTTTCATTTCATTTCGTTCAACATTTTCTAAACCCAAATGCTTGATGTATCTTTCCACGAATTGGTGCACATTCGCACACGCTTTGCGAAAAGCTGGGGGATTATAGAGAAAGTGCCAAGGTGCTATGCGAAAGCGTTTGGCAAGACTTTATCTTCTTGGTGCTGATCGATACCTGCCCTCAAACTATAGACTGATCGACCGAACAGTGGATTCGTCGCAGTATCTAAGGTTAGATCGAAAAACAGAGGCTGTAGATCGACAACTCCACCTGAAGGTAGGCGATAGATCAGGTTGTCAATATGCTCGCGAAAGTGGTGGAATTTCTGATATTGAACACGAATAAAATGCTTCCGCAGGAATTCTCGAGAATGTTTCCATGCTTGTCCTTTTGCGTAGGAATCCCATTTCCCAACAAGGGGGCAGAAACCTGAGGCCTTGCACCGAAAGCGTAGTCTGTTCATTCTCTCGAAAAGTTGTAAGCACGGTTCGGCTTGCTAATCGTTCTGCAGAATGGCGGACGAAAGTCACCTTTAAAAGTTGTTCACAAGACCGTCTCTACATTTGATGGATGCAATAAATGAAAAGCTCTTTGTCCAACTAACAGATACTGGGTGAGAGTATTTCCAGGTTCGTAATCTTCTGCGACCTTGAAAAGATATGCAAGAAGTCGACCTTCCGCGTTTGTTTCCCAAAGGTCCTTGATGCGATCGATACCGAATGGCCATTTCTTGGGCAGTTCAGGTGGTAAGTGGCAACCGTGTTGCAATCCCAAAGCAGAATCGTCCTGCAGGCTGTGAGTGTGAAGTTTCGTTTATTGCAGATCGAATGTTTACTTACGCAGTAGTCTGAATCTCAAATGAGAGAGGCAGCAGACACGACTGACAACGAGTATGAACAAGGTCCAGACAATGAAAGTAGCCGCCATCGTGGTTTTTAGGGAATCTTGACTCGGCTGTAATTTTTTTTGAATTTGAGGGTTAACTTAGGGCCAAAGGTGATGGCACTTAAAAGTCGCTTGTGTCGTTGCCCGTCCGGCGGTCAAGACGCCTCCTAGCCTTTGTACGATAATCGGCGAAGTTCCGTTGACCAAACATTAGACAGATCCTAAGAGTAGCTAAATGCTACGTAAAATCATCATATCATGTTATTCAGCGTTCAAGAGCGGAGTAACGCGGTATCCAAGAATCATGGACGGATGGCATCGAGGTGGGACTGGATCTCTTCGCGGAAAGCTGATATCAGAAGTTGTAATTAGTACTCCACGATTTCTACCTTGACAAGACGACTGAGTGTTGTAGATATTCTTGTATGTACTAAATCGTTTCTCTTGAGGCTAAGGAAGGTACATGATTCTTCAGCTATCACATAGCCACCTTCGTTGTCGTTCGCCGAAGTTTCATAGACAAGTAGTTCTTTACATCTTGATGCTTAATATTAGAATTCCTGGTAAAAACCTGATCGAGCCCCTTCAACTCATTCAGGAACTTGGATGGTGAGCCTGACTTGTAGATTATAAGGGCGAGGCCTTCATCAACCACGAGCCGCGGGCCATCGACTACGGTACGTGGGGTTTTGGATGATGTGGCTCCTTTCAAGTCATTCTCGTTGCATAGGGCCTCGATTAGACAGGCATCAAAATACAATTCTTGCGTTTGTGCGTGGATTCCCCATCATCTTCTTCTCTTCCCGTTTATGTGTTATGCAAGATTTTTCCTCTCTCTCTCATTGCTGCGCATGGCCTGCGGCAAGCCTAGTCACCCCCGTAACAAATAATTCCCAGTGCCGCGATCGGTCAACACAACGAGCGATATCAGCTAGCTATTCTATCAGAATGTCAAGGTGCAGTGAGTCTGGAAATTTAAATATATAGTTTTAGCTTCGCCTACCGAACTATGAACATGCAAATGAATGATCGGCTATATACTTCGTAAGCATGCTCAACGGTAGCCACTATACCCTAGCTTTCCATGGTAGCAATACGTGATGTGACCGAAGGGTGGTTCAGCGCATTGTTGCCCCATAGCGGCGGTTGAAAGCAATCAGGATTATAAACATCATGGCTTTATGGGTATCGTGTTGCTCTTGGTACCTGAGCTACTCCGTATCTAACTTTCGATACCAGTAATCCATAGATTTCTCCTAAACGAAGAAATGAGGATGCCTCTTGACATGGAACAAAAATACAATAAGCTCATCAGAATCAGATGCATCGACGTTTGCACGTTTTGACTGGTGGCTCATGGTTCTCAGAGTTCTTGCGCTTTACCGTTTGACAAGTGAATCGCGTGTCATCTCCGTCTGCGAAAAAAGGAGGCGGAGCGGAGGGAAGCTGAAGATATAACATCTGCGCGAGTGTCATAGGGAACCCACTGATGGGATGAGTGCCTTTCCCATGTTCAAACAGGCTGATGTGGATGGGTGTATCTAGGCTGGATATTATAACGGAGCAGCGAGTGAATCCCATTTGAGGGAATTCTCTGTATACTTTATTTTTGTTTCCTACCACAACATACGCACGCTGTAAGTACCCACAAAGCGCCTTTCAGATTGCATTATCCTCAGGCCACCGGGATTGAAGTGTCAGATTGGCATGGAACTGGCCATCCCGAGGATCATAAGCTGGTATTTGAGAAAGTGTGCGAAAGAAGCACGAGGCTACCATGGCCATTGCAAGTCGTCGTGAATCCGCTCTTACTTCCGATGTTCTCATGTGGTGGATTGTCTGCTTTTCGATTGTCTCAAGTATGCACGCGTCGTCCCAGGAAAATCCTGGTTTTGAGAGGTATGGGTCTATTCGATAGTGTTTCAGATCCCTTTCCCTCTTGTCGACGGTATTCAAGAATTTCTCATACATATGGCTGGCGTCAATCGCACATCTTACACATACTATGAGCCGTTGAATCCAGCGAGGGGTGAAGATCTTGGCTATTTTGCTTTTGACGGAGAGATCCGATTCTCGAAACCGACCGGTACCGAAGCTAGCGCAAAGATCTAGCATCCGGGTATCCAGTAGTGAAAGAGCATTGACTTCCATCATACCTACCCATGCTGGGCAATTAGCTACAAATACTCCATCCAAGCTCTCTCTGCGCGAACAGTCCTTATTGAGTTTTGTTTTCTCTCGCTTGTAGGGTAGTGGTTCGAAAATGAAAGGGGCAGTGCAGCTTGTTGTGACTCTAACTTTTTTTAGCGCAGCTTTTTTGTGAAGGAGACGACATCGACAGTGTGTAAGCGCCTGGAGGTGCCTTCCGTAGCGACCTACGCGGGAGTCTGTCTTTGGAACTACAAGCCAATCTTCCCCGACGAGCCTACCAAGAGCCTTGAGAGTCTCGCGTGCCTACAGACATTCACCCGGTCTCTCGATAAACAGTGGTTTTATTTGGTGTCAGTGGCAATCGAAGCACAAGGTGCTCCAGCACTTTCCCTTATGCTCCGGGCGATTACGGCCGCTCGCGCCGGCGACACGTGCCAGGTCACAGACTGTTTACAGCAACTTGCAAAGATCATCAGCAAGATCACCTTGATCTTACAACCTTTGTATGAAAATTGTGACCCTAATTATTTTTATCGCCGTATTCGGCCCTATTTATCGGGCAGCAAGAATATGAGTGAGGCAGGCTTGCCCCACGGTCTGCTGTACGATGACGGGACCGACCGCCCAGTGCATCACCAGTACGGTGGTGGGAGCAATGCGCAAAGCTCACTGATTCAGTTCTTCGATATTGTCTTGGGTGTAGAACATCGTCCGACCGGAATCACCCGCAACGAACAGAAAAAAAGTCCATTTCAAGCACGGCAAAGTCGCGCACCGGATTTATCCATGAAATGCGCGACTATATGCCCGGCTCCCACCGTCGGTTCTTACAAGACGTCGAAGCAGTTGCGAACATTCGCTCATATGTTGATGATCGGCGCACGGGTTTTGCTTTGCAATTCGCGTACGATACCTGTCTGTCAATGCTACGAGAGATGCGCGACCAGCACATTCAGGTCGTTTGCCGCTACATTGTTGTCCAGTCCCGTGTAAACCAACAGGCACCGCCGTCCGGTACACATCCTATGGTGATAGATTCAGCTACTATGGTTCCGGGAGATCGCAAAATACTTCGTGGTACAGGTGGCACAGCGCTCATTCCCTTCCTTAAACAAGCCAGGGATGAGACAGCGGAGCCTGTCATCGATGCAAGGGCGCGACGACTGCTGAGCCACAAGCCCGGTTCACTTGAACCGGCCTCGTTGAATAAGGTCGGAGAGCAACCGGATGATCATCCTCAACTGGTTGATCCTTGCGGGAAATGGACGGCTGGCCATAGCGAAGGTGGCATCTGCCGCTGGTGAGATGTGGTTGGTTGATGGTGAGGCCTGCTATACTGCCTGGGCTACGCCCTCACCACCTGGGACCACCAACCTCAGTAGTATAGCTTGGCTTCCTTCTTCCTCCTCTCCTCTCTTCTTCTAGTCAACGCTGAGTGTTTTCACCTTTCGGGTTTTTCCTTCGCAGGATTCTGCAGTCAAACAGTGGTTGGACTACCACCGTCATGACAATTGGAGCGTGCATTGTGCTTGTGCCTTTAATGTATGTTGTCTTTCATTGTAACTGAGAGCATTGAATGAAGCCAGTATACTACTGCCCGTGAGGCGCTCGAAAGCGATTCGGGATATCATAGCGGAGATGCAGCGGGTTTCGGGTGTATACGTGAGCGAAATGGCTCATCTGGAATCTCTGACGTGAGGCTAATCTCCGCTGCTGTGTGTAATTTTCATGTTCATTCATGTATGACCGCAGTCGGGACAACTGTATCTTAATGACATAATGAGAGAGTAACGCGGGCAAAAACTGATTGCGATACCCGTAATCAACAAGCCTTGTCTTTCAGAGCCGACTATGCTGAGTGGCTCTATTGCGTGCGCTCAACAACACGTGAATACTTAAAGCCTTAACTAGAGTTTCCAGATCCTGAGATTTCAACTCCAAGAGGCCTTCTTTTACTCCAAGGATACCACCATCGTCATTCGCAAACCCATTTACTGTTGATCATCTCTGAATCAACAACAACGCATCCCCTCTCGGTTCCACCATGAGGTAGACCACCAACACCGCTCGGTGTGTCCTTTGATGCCGATATCGCAAACTCCTTAGCGAATGTGGGCTTCCAGTACTTTATCTGGCATTTGAACGTTCTTAGTACTTAGACTGCGCATGGCTTATCTAGTTATGTCTTATCTCCCTCGTAGCTTAAGGGCGCCGTCTTAAAGGACTGGGCAGGGTACTCAGGTACTCAGTATTACATCTCCCACACTATTTCCTATATCAGTAACTTTATCGTCGACCAAAAAACCAGTTTTGTTGATACAAACAATGAAAAAAATTCCCACCACCCCGACAGCGAGACCAGACCATTATTTTTGCCAATGTTCCATCGAAAATCTTATCAGACATCAAGGTCCTCGTGACGCCAGCACCAAGCAGAGCTGGCCTGGCAAGGCAGATTGTTGATGCCGTTGTGTGCGCTCGAATTCAGGGAAAAGACTATCCTGTTGTTGTGTAATATTATCTTCTCTTCTTCCTAATCTTCTACACAGGTTTAACCACAGCAAGATAATACCTCATCTGGCCTCCATTTAGTACAGAGTTAGATATCAATGACGACACATTGCAGTATCTCTTTTTACCACCCTCGAGCCTTTGTTGACCAAGACGCGGGACTGAATCCCTATAACGTCCAGCTCCTACATATCTGTAATGAAAATACGTAGTTCTAGTTATACATAAGACCTTGCAATATGTGTCCGTCAAAAGGTCCGAGGAAGCTCGCTTTACTGCCAGATGTCTGTCTATTTATTAGTATATGTAACTTTTGAGCTGGAGCCATATGTTCGTTTCCACCGAGTCCGAGAATGACCTGGCCTTTACAGTCATGGACCCTACTACAGGATTCCGAGCTGTAAAGATATTTACCGTTGGATCAAAGAAGCATCAGACGGACGGCGACCTCGGTACGCGGGAACCTTAACGTATACGTGTATGTTGTGGGAACTAGAGGAGTCTCTACCGGATTCCGAGATTCAGCCTTGAAAGCCGACCTCGTAAACTTGGACTTTCTACCCAGCCAACAGGTTATCCGGTCTACGACACTAACCCCCTAACATTAGGTTTACACATTGTCTTTCACCGCGAGGTAGTACAGTCGCGACGAGGAACAGCCCAGCAAATGGTGTGGGCTTATGGCGCTTGTTGAAATGTTGAACAGTGATTTGGTATCTGCCCCCTACCCGCCAGCGGTTTCTATATTGCAGTCTACCGAGACACTGCAAGCATTGCAGTGCAGCTCCAAGCGTCTTCTCTCGTAGGTAATTTCTCATGTATCAGTGAGCCCTACCTGGCACACTGATTGTCTACAGGGATATTGCCATGCTGAGTAGAGCAATCTTGAAAGTGTCAGGTTCTCACAAGCTTGAAAATCAGATTCCCGCAGCACGTGGACCGAGGACGAGACAGACTGCGGAAAGTACGGGTCGCTAGATTTGATTAGTGTCGCACCTATTCGGTCCACTGCAGATCTTCACCAGATGAGCTAATTGAATCAGCTCTAGTGCTAGGCATGTCATTTGGACATCAAGAGGTCGATGGTGGGGGGCACCTATGCGCGAGAAACATGCTAATGTTTGGACCGAGACTGAAAGGTGGCCTATTATGTTGCTCAAAGCTCAGAAATGTGCGAGAGAGGATCTATCTGCCTTCAAAACCTACTCTGAACAGGTCAGACGGCGATTTCATGTCCTTTTTGTCCGGTGCATGCAAGTTCCCAACAGCTCATCAAGCCTCTTTTTCCGAGTAAGGTATACTTTCAACAAGAGATAATTATATGAAATACAAGCGATGACTCATAGATTGATGGAAGGTACCATGTGTTACTAGTCTAGCTTCCGACACTGTCCACGACTTACGATTAATCGTCAACCTCATGCGTAAAATGGCAGTCTGTTACTCTATTTGATGTGACGAGATCTCTAGTGACTATATAAAAAGTTATGGATGTAAATTTACCGCGGTACCCCACGGATCTTACGGCGGCTGGCGCGAGTGACTTGACAAGCGCTAGCAGACGCCGAGACCGTGGTGCGTGCTGCTGAGGTGGCAGTGGGTGTTGCTGTTGTGGTTGTAGAGGGCATCGCCACTTGCTTGGAACTAACCACGGAAGAGCCAGCGGTCGTAGTCGCCGTTGCACAATCAAGCTTCCCGTTGTTACTTTTGCAATATTCGTCTACGGCCCGAATCAGTAAATGTGCGGATGGGTTATGGAAACTCCATCGAGATGAGTCAGTACTTACTGAGATCGATCAGTATCGGAGCATCGCTGCCGTCGCAGGAAACGCCCATGAAATTCTTTTTGGCACGGAATCTGCACGATTCAGCCGCGGCGCCCCTTTTACCATTCAGCGTCAGCAGCCTCTCAGGAACAGAATTAATCGAGCTGACAATGCATCAGGCTGTAACATACTTTTTCTGGGGTTTGATATCGTTTCCATCGTTCACCCAATTAGCGTTTATGTTCTGGCTACAAGCCTTGTAGTCGCCTGTACGTAATAGACATTTACATGTCAGAGTCGGGTCAGTTCCATCGATTCTACAGTCAGTGATTCCCAGAGAAGTATCGGCAAGAGTGCCACGTAGAGCGATGATAGAAAGAACGATCAGAATGTTGAGCATCTTGTGAATTAATACTTGCTCAGACAATTGGATCTTGCACCTGGCATGAAAACACGAAGACTTCTGTGATATTTAATAGAAATCGTGAGCACGAGCTAAAGGACTGATTGGGAACATGAGCCACAAATAGACAACGAGGTCGATTTCGCGGTCTACCTAGTTGAATGTCACTGATCCAAGTGTACGTAGAACGGCCCTTCAAAGTGGACGCACTGCGAATGAACTTCGGGGTCCAGTGTATTGCGCTACTAAACTCTCCTCTTCCCTAGCCGTGCATTTAATTTTGGAATTGCACAGACACCTCAGTGCCGGTGTCCATAATTAGTTCCTAGTATGAACGTAGGTGATTTTGAGCTTTCTAGCAGATCTGTGCTGAACATAATACAGGTGGCACACCTCAGTACAGTACCTCAAGGCTCATTCTTATTCAGGGTCTGCCCGACGGGTTTATACGGTCTGACAATATCAGACCCAACTCTCATGCTGCCACATATAATCGCACATGCGCCAGGATTTCCAGGAAATAAATCAAATTGCACATCGCACAAAAGACATACATATCTCATACTAAACTAGTTCTATGTTCTGTCTTCAGTATTAGATAAAGGTTTTGATACGTTCCAGCTACTAAGATGAAGTTCCAGCTCTGGTAGTAGACCAAGTTAATTACTGATGAAGATGCCATTGTTATTTATGTGCCAGAAGACCGGAAAATCTAAGTTACCATCGAAACCTCTCAGCTTTACGCTAGGATACTATGAATAGCATCAGTACTTCATATCATATTGTCTGATGCTGGTCAAGACCAAATGATTTTATTTATAGCACACAATCTGCGCCTGGGTGCCAAGAGTAGGTAGAAGGTATAAGATATAGAATCGAATGATGAAGTCGACAATTTCCATTTGAAATCGGCAAATTTGGTTGCACGTAACAACATGATATCCTGGAACATTTACTTTAACGGGAAGTTTATTCGAACTTGGCGTCCACGAGAAGGGCCGCAACGACACTGCATAACTAGGGGTGAAAAAAAATCGTCTCTAAACGACGGCCACGTGCTTGAAGGACGCCAGAGTCTACGTGCTGTTGCCGAAGAAAATCATCTACACGGACACTCTCCAAAATTCTCTTCAAGATTATTGGGCACGCAGTATTCAGAAGACTACTCGACATTCGTCACAAGCCCAATGTAAGACGGTCTCGGCTGTGACCGACGGAGAATAGCCTTTTTGAGCTGGCAGACTTCTGCTGCGAGAGCCGATATTAGATACCGCCACGTTGATCCAAAACAACACCAAAAACGCGAAACGGCAACATCGATATTTACTGGCCGACCACGCGAAGCAGGGGCATGTTACAAAGCCCGTCGAGCGCAGACAGACATGCTAACTCAATGTATCCGAACACGCCAAAAACTGTACATACTTCCCACAGCGGTATGTCTAGTACTGGCTAGGAACTGTTTCTCGGGACTAAGGAGTCGCACAGTCACTGGGAAGCGTGTGCGCAAATCGCAAAACCTCTCATTAGAATTAGTTTGTTCAAATCGTGTAGATTCTTCTGGGGCTCCCAAAAAAATAGCCTAGGGCTATTTGTATAGTAAAGGATCTATACATACGATACT